CGTCAATGAACACCAATATTTGAAGAAGAGCACTAAGACCATGCGCACGTGAATATCACACGCCTTCAACCTCGAGTAGCTTCAAATTTTCCAAATCTTTTATGGCATTTCCTTTATGTTCCAAGCTCGATGCTCGTCCTACAATCTTTTATCTCCTCACGATTCCTTCTTCAAAGTAATGGATCGCCAACAACGTGCACGCTTTCCTCTCCTTTTTTCTTATTTATTTAATTCATTAGTCATTACTCTTATTTATCTGCTTTACCTTTTATATATATATATATTCAAATGTTGGTGTTACACGTATGCTTTTCGCATCATCTCTTTTATTGGTAACAAAGAGTTCAAGCATTATATATGTTACATATAAAAATACCCATTATTAAGCCATAAAACTACTCATGGATGGTATAAAATTGGTGCAAGCTTGAGAGGCAACTTTTTGTGGAGGGTGAGACTCAAACCCGAATTCTCTTCCATGTCCAAGTCTTCCTTTTTCATTCCATTGGGCAGCTTCCAATCAAAATGGTACAAAAGATTTGCTAAAGCTAACTCCACCGTTTTCACCCCCATATTCAACCCAGGGCACATCCTCCGACCAGCTCCGAATGGCAGGAACTCAAAATGTTGTCCATTGTAATCAATCGAGCTCTCTGTAAATCTTTCTGGAAGGAACTCTTCTGGGTCTGTCCAGCATGTGGGGTCTCGTCCAATTGCCCAAACGTTCACTTGAACCATCGATTTTGGGTAAAAATCATAGTCTCCAATTTTGAAATGAGAAATGGTTTCTCTTGGAAGAAGAGGTGCTGGTGGATGTAGTCTTAGCGTCTCTTTCACTATCATTTTCAAATATGGAAGCTCTTCTATGTCTCTCTCTGTTACCTTTCGTTTGTTTCCCACATAGTTTCTGATTTCTTCTTGAGCTTTCTTCATCACTTTTGAGTTTTTTGCAAGTTCTGTCATTGCCCAGACTATTGTAATTGAACCAGTGTCTAATCCTGCCACAAATATGTTCTGTTGATGTACATCATACGATAGAAAAATGTTAGAAGAAGGCACGAAGGATAGAGATAAAGCCAAAAAGGGTCAATACCTACACAAAGACTTAGTTAACCACGAGATTGAAAGTTTAGAAATTAAACTAAAATTTTAAAAATAGAAGTTGCTTACAAAAAGAATGGCTTTGATGTTTTCTTGGGTAATGACAACCGTGCAAGATCCAACTTGCTTTTTACTAATAGCCAAAAGCACATCAATAATATCATCTTGTTCTGGCTTAGGCCTCTCAGGACAAAGATGTTCATCAATCACCTCTTGAAACAGAGCATTCATCTCGTTAAAAACCCTTTCAAGTCTAGCTTCTCGACCACTAAACCAATCAAATACCTCTCCCACAAAAGGAGCTGGGAAAATCTCAGAAGCACTATAGCTTCCGATTTGAGCCTCAACTTCACTTATAAGCTCATTAAATCCATCCCCTTCAAACCGCTTCCCAAATGCAATTCTAAAAATAACACCAGTAGTGAGAGCAATGGACTTCTCACTAATATCAACAATAGCTCCACGAGAAGCTGATTGTGAAATTGATTCAATAATTAAACCAACTTCTTGCTCTCTAATGGGTTCGTAAGATAACACCCTCTTCATACTGAAAAACTCAAGCATACAAATTTTGCGTATCTCTCGCCAGTAACTGTTGTAGGGTGAAAATCCAATGTCAAGGAAATTGTAAGAGAATTTTTTGATAGCATGCGTTTGTGGTCTGTTGCAGCTTTGAAGATCGTGAGTTTTCAAGAGGGCACGAGCAGTCTCGGCAGATGATATGATGATAGTTTCTATACGACCTAAGTTGAGGCTCATAATGGGACCGTAAATTCGAGAGAGGCGCCATAGGGATTTGTGTGGGAGCTTGCCAAGTTGATGCAAGTTTCCAATGATTGGAAGCTTCGGTGGGCTTGGGGGAAAATTAGGCTTTCTTCTATTTGCTGCTTTCCATTTTAGAACGATGAAAAGTGAAGAGAGAAAGATGATGAGAGGAAGCCATGGAGGGAAATGAAGGAAAGACATTAGCATTTAGAAAGAGTTCAAGAACAAGAGGAAAAATATTATGAATAAAAAGAAAGGTGATTCTCCTTTCCATTAAATACACATAAAACAAAACGTCTTATTTTATTTAATCGAAAATAATGAAATATTTTCAAACTTTTAGTGATTATCTTTAAGAACAGCAGATTAAAAATTTATTTAAAAAGAAAATACGATGTTTATTGATATTATTCTTATAGCACCAATAACTGATATTAAAAAATTGAAACATGGTTTATTAGCGTGATAGATTTGAATATTAGTCTTCTAAGTAGATAATCTATATTTTAACCAATGAAATTATGATTAGATTTTGAACGATACAAGCTGCAGTAGAACCTAACAATAAACAACGAAAATCAACTCTAAATTTTTTTTTTTTTTTTTTTTTTTTTTTTTTTTTTTTTTTTTTTTTTTT